GGTGCTGCTTGAAGACGAATTCATCGCAGAAGCAGTTGGAGTGAAGAAATCTGTCAAGCATGAGGCAGCAGAGGAAGCTGTGAAAATCCTCAAAAAGACTCAGCCAACTGTTGTCAATAACCTGAAGAAAGGCACCGTCGAAGACGTCATCTCCCGAAACGAGATCCGGGGTCGGTCAGCTGAAGAGGCTTTCAAACAGAAGATCAAAGAAGACAACATTGGGAATCAAATATTAAGGAAGATGGGCTGGACAGGCGGTGGCCTGGGGAAAGCCGGGGAAGGAATTAGAGAGCCTATTTCAGTGAAGGAGCAGTTTAAAAGGGAAGGACTTGGGCTTGATGTGGAAAGGGTCAACAAAATCGCTAAAAGAGATATTGAAGAGATCATTCGGAACTATGCACGCTCAGAGAGCCACATTGACTTGACTTTCTCTAGAGAACTGACCATGGATGAGAGGAAGCAGATCCATCAGATCGCCCAAAAATATGGTCTTAAAAGTAAATCTCACGGGCAGGGTCACAACAGGTACTTGGTGGTAAGCAGGAAGCGGCGCAAGGAGGATCTGTTGGACCAGCTGAAGCAGGAGGGCCAGGTTGGGCACTATGAGCTGATTATGCCACAGGCAAACTGAGGGCATGTGTCCCTTTGACTAGAGACTGAGCTGCCCGGATACTCGGTGAAAGAGATGCTGCATTTTTCCTGTCATGGGCTACATCAATGTTAAAAGTCCTTCACTTTATCATTTCTAAAGCATTGCTAGACATTTAGAACTGACCGAGTTCTGTTCCAAGTATCTTAGCACAGCCCAAAAGCAGTAGTGCTGTCACTGTATGTGTCTTTGATATTACCTGTTCCTTCACGTTTTAATAGTTTTGTAATAGCAAAACCACGTGTCCGACGAGGAGGAATTTGACATCATTTAAAATTCTGGTTCCCATCTTCTTGACCAAGGAAGTAAAAGGAAAAAAAAAAAAAAGCCCTTTTTTAAAAAAAAATAAAAACAAAACATAAAAAAGAAAATTGCAAAAAGCAAAGGAAATGCAGTCTGAGGGAATAAAGCCTGTATGTAAAGTTGGCATTAATGAAAATAAAGGTTTATTTCTGGAAAAAAGCCCAGGATTTGTCACACTTTGTAAAGGACAAAAATAATGTGTGAAATCTGTGTTTATTCTTGAGAAATATATATATATATATATTATATATATCTATGTATACCAAGGTCTTGTCTCTGCTGTATGTGTATGTATGAGATGTCCTCAACCAGTTTAACCACAGTTTTAATTCATAGCTTTCTACCTTGAGTCTCCCATCCTGAGAGTTCCCGAATGCACTTTCATCAGCAGCATGTCAGACTGAGATAATCCCAGGGCATTTCTACCTTGGAGCTCCGCTTGACATGTGCAGATGAAACACCATGTGAGGTGTGAAGCACAAGTGGAGGTAACCGCAGAGCCCACGCTCCGGGCGGCTCGTGGGCACCGTTATGCAACTGAGTTTTGTACTTTGAATAAGAGCTCTTTAATCCAGAGCAAAACCAAAGCTGTGCCTGAGGATTCCTCTGCTCTGTTACTGTACCTGTGCCTGTGCCTGTGCGTGTCAGGGGCGAGTCACAGCTGAACTCCTGGTGTAGCTCTGCCATGTGGTGCGAGCGTGGTGTCTCTCTGGGATGCAGGGGCTGGAAAGCAGGCTGACCTCTGCCTCTTACCACAGAACATGAGCTGTGGAGGACTGCTTGCTTCATGCTTGCAAACCAGAGCTTAGGCGTTGACCTTGGAAGAGCCACGAGTGAGATGCTGTTTTTTCTGTCACAGGTAGCACAAACCCGGTCCTAATAAGTATTTTTTCTCTGTTGCCTTGTCTCAGCTCTCTCTTTTTTCTGCCTCTCCCTCTTTTTACATCCTCCTCTAGCTTTTTTTCCCACCTCCTGTTTTCTCTTTGGATCCTCACAGCACAGAGGAGAGCGTGACCGACCTCCACTGATGCAGCAGAATATCCTGGTGATGTGCAGTCAGAGGCACTTCCAGCCCCGCAGTGTGAGCAGGACGCAGCTGCCCTGGCAGGTAAGCCTGTCTTGGGAAGGGCATGAGCTGCAGCACAGTGTCCACTGGCTGGGACTGGTGAAACAGGAACGTGTTGCTGCTGCTGCCTTTGCTGAAAAATAATGTGGCAGTTAATTCTGAATGTATGTTGGGGTTTGGTGGTGTTTGGGGTTTTGTGTTATTCCCTCTGTACTGCTGAAAGAGCGCTGGGTTGAAGCAGATGGTGATGTAGGAGTGGTACTTTCTAGGCAGATATTCCTGCAGCAGGCAGGCGTGCTGCTCCCCCTCCCTAGCTTGGATATGCTGCAGGTCTTGTAGGCTTGGTGATACTGAGACAGGCAGCAAGAGCCCCACTGCAGGATTTGGGATGAGAAGTGCCTGTTCAGGGGAGCAGGAGCTGGCTGAATGTAACAGTTCCTCAGCAGGGGCAGCTGTCCAGGGCCTTGCTCTGCCTGTTGCTGTGACTTGGCTACCCATCTTAGCACAGCTACAGAATGGTTTGTACTGGAAGGGACCTTAAAGATCATGCAGTTCCAACCCCTGTTCACTGCTGAGTGCAGTACCCTTGGCAGGGCGCGCCTGTTACCGTTCTGTCTTGTTAGTGGCTGTAGATTTGTCTGGGTGTTGCTGTTGGAGCTAAACCTTTGTCGCTGGTGTGTCTATAGAGCTGTAAGCTTGGCTGGAGAGCCAGGACCTGCTGGAGAATTGGTGGATGAAGGCCATGCTAAAAGGGGTATAAAGGTCAGGGTTTGTTTCTTCTTGCAGCTCTGTGCTGCTTGTTTCCTCCTGCTTTAAGAGTCCCACACCACGCTGTTGGGTATGGTGGTTGGGTTTCTGGTGGTTTTAGTGGCTGTCAAGACAAATACAAAACTGGAGGTGCCGATACAGGGGCTTCTGCACCATGAGGACTTGGGCCATTCAGAAAGGTTCTGCTGGCAATAGCATGCAGGAATCCTTCCGGCTAGGCCAGGGGCAAGGGACGCGTGGTTGGCTTCAGTCACCCCTACTGGTGCAAGTGGGGGGCTGGTTTTTGCACTGGTCTATAACCTGGTGTAACGAAGGGCTTTGCTGCTTGACTGGCTCTGCCTTAGGGAAGTTTTGCACAGGGACTGCTTAAAAAACACTTAACTTTGAGGTAGATTCATTCCATACACACCTGAGAGATGCCAGATGCAGCTGTAATGACAGTTACGACACTGTCCATTAGGAGGAGCATGTGTACCTCAGGTACTTCAATGGCAAAAGGCTCTTCAGTGGAATGAGCTCTGTCACAGCAGGTACAAATAATCCTTGCTTCCCCTTTTGAAAGAACCTGGCAGCTTCTATCTTAATTGCAGAGCAAAGTAGCACCAGTTTTTGGTGTCAGTCATTTTAAATCCTGTTCTCCCCCTCACAAGATGGGAGGAAAGTATGATTCCTGTATCCATTCATTATTGAGCCTGTTCAGTTGCTGAAACCAACTCATAATCATCTTTGTCAATGGCTCATTCACAGGCATTGAACTTCCTGCAAGTGCTTTATATGCTGTGGCTGGTGTTTGCCCATTTCTGTGCTGCAAGGGCAAGTCCCAGTCCCTGCACTAGGGCTGGCACAGCGCTCATCACACTGCTGCCCCTCAGCCCTGCCCTAAGGGTCTACCTGCAGCTCAGTCCCGCAGCAGCCTCCTACAGCCCCATTAAAATAACCACAGCTATACACCTCTTGCCTATTTATACAATAAGCACTAAGGTTACACTTTATTTACAACTTTTGAAAAATGTACAGTTTCTTACATGGGTTACTTGTGCAAAGTTGTACTTCTCAACTAACAGACCAATGTGCACACAAAGGACACGGGAACAGTGGACAACACAGTCGTAAGCTCCGTCCCACCCTGCTGCTTAAGGTACTGTATCCAAACGTACAAACTCAGCCCTACCAAAAAAGTGAGTCTGGACTTACAAATGTTGGTTTGGTTTTGGGGTTTGGTGGTGGTTTGTTTCTTTTCAGAGTTGAAAAAATACTTCCATGAAACTGAAGGGAAACTCAAGCATGCAGCAGCAGCTCACACAAACCACAATCATCTACCAAGAGCAGAACTGCAGAGAGTCAAGTGCCCACCCGTACTTTATCACAAAGGTGGCTCCCCAAGGACTTGTCTTTCTCAGCTAAAGGTAAGGGGCAGGTGAAAGACACTGAGGGAGTAATTCCACTGCTGGAACACTTCAGGGTTTATCTCTTCCTTAATGTGGAAGGTGTCTTTCTCAGAGTACCCCAGCTCTACTTGGGCTTGTCCAGTAATGCCTCAGTGACAGGAGTACAGAAATCAGTGAAGCGCTTGCTGTAGGCATGTCCTTTAAACTAAAATAAAAATGGGGGGTGTTTGTCACCCAAGCAAAGGTCAGAGTACCACAGCTGTAGTGATTTATGTATACTTGTACATAAATCCTGCATGTGAAGTGCACAAGTAACTAGCAGTCCACAGTCTCACTTAACTATTTGAATTGGAATCAATTTGTTTGGTTTTGTTTTTTACCATGAGTAAGGAGTTGAAACCAATACAGAAGGGAAACAAGGTTATTTCTTCACTCTGTACGTACAAATACAGTGGGGTCTAAACCAATAGTAGAGGTAAATGACCAGCCTGGACACATCAGCACTTTAGTTAATATCAGTTAAAAAATGTGTATGTATATAAACATCCCTTTATCAAGCTACACATAAGCATCACTGTGTATAACACAATTACAATTAAAAGCTTAGTGTACACTACAGAAATGCACAATACTGCCCTAAGACTGGAGAGGGGGCACAAGAAATGGATTCAGCATCAGTAACTCTTTTGCAAGTAACCCAAGTACAGAACACTTGACTTCAAAGTGGGTGTTTTCTGATGTCCAAGGAGAAGAAGCTTCAGCAAGGGAGGGTGGCAACAGCACAACAGCTATTCTGCTTTCAAAGTAAATGCTAGGAGGAAAAAGATGACTCAGACACTTTGTTTATTTTCCTCATCAACAGAGTGTTCATTTGCATCATCCTGGGTCAACAGTCACGCCAGCTCTGTTCTACTATTGCAGAGACCCGTTTTTCATATTCCCGCTTATTCTCTTGGTATAGCTGAGCTGCCTGGCTGTTTGCTGGGCTGTTGGGGTTTGGCTCATCCAATAGAGACTGCACAAAGAGAAAGAGATTCTTAGGCACTGGAGAGTATGCATAGTTTTCCAACATACTCCATTAAGAGTGCAGAGGTTAATTACATACAGCAGGTACATGGCATTATTCCAGCTGTAAGTTACTGGAAGCATTTGCTGTCGCTCTTACAGCAGTGCAGGTGGCACTGCAACTTGACAGCCAAGCAGCAATACCCAAGCAATGTGATCACAGGACAGGCCCCTTCAGTGACTACCTACTGTCACTGTTAGTTTATACCTGGGAATTACTCATACCTTAGCACATATCAAGGTATAGATGCTATACTGGCTAGCAGGAGGCAAAGCAAAGTGTTTCCTGAGCTGTTTTTGTCAAAGCATCCTAATTTCATTCTGCCTTTTCATGCAGGGTTCATTTTACCTGTATGGATGTTAAGATGGAAGAGACATCATAAGTAGGACTCCAACGATTCTGAAGAATATCCAGACATATACTACCATCTGCATAGACTAGAAAAGGTTTAAGAAGAATGGCTTAACACAGAAGTTGTACAGCTCTCAGTATGTCCTAGCATTGCCTGCTCCTGAAAAACCTATGTACTGACAAACACTACAATAGCATCAGACAGCAAACAAGCCTGTAGGAAGGAACAGGTGAAGCTCGTCACCAACAACTGCCTGTGGTATTTAAACTCAACCCCTGCTTTTTCTTTACATCAAGCTTCTCTGTGACATTGCAACTACCATGAATAGATTTTAAGACAAAAAAAAATAAGCTACCCACAAGTGAACCAAATAAAGAACACAAGCCAAGAGCTGTTCACAGGTAAGGCTTCCCCAGGAAGTATCTCCAACAGTCAGGGTCTAGCATTCTAAAGCTCACAGCAGCTTTAGAAGAACCCTCCCTCAGGGCACTTCACTTACCTGCTACATTTGAAAGTTTCTAGTACTCCTTCACAAAGCTAGTATTTGTTGGAGACAAGGAATAGAGCTGCAACCTTTAATTACCAGAGAAGGGGGTTAATTACATGATCTGTCACTCACTGTAGCTGGTAACACCACATTTTGAGGTATGTCATTCTTACTGGCATTTTGGGGAAGTGATAAAAGACAACTGCAGTCAGTAGCATCAAATATCCAGTGTCCATACATACTGCTGTATATGCAGTACATACAGATAAAATACCAAGGCACTGCTCTTTAAGTATAACATATTCCTCTGTAAGGTTTAACAACAGGCAGTTGAGAGAGAAGTATCTTGATACTGTGCTGTAATACCTGAAAGGTCAGAGGCTCCATTTATTGCCCCTTTCATTTCAAGCCTGAGCACTGCTCACATATTCATCCTTACTAAACCTACACAGAACCACATTGGAATGTTGCTTACTTATTAAATAGTGGAAATTTTGATAATAAACGGACCTTTTTCTACAACAATATAAAAAGCTAGAACTTGAAAATAAGCAGTATTGTCTATGTACTTACCATTTGGATGAAACATTTTAGAGACAAATCTAACAGTGGGTGGCTTATTCGGATATTCTTCTGTGAATTCTATTGTAAGTTTGAAAGTTCCTGGAGTTGAAAGAGAGATAAGTAACCTTTACTCAGAATGAATTTACACAAGGGATGAGCAAGCAGCATCCCTCCACAAGCACAAACTGGTACTATTGTGCTGGTATGTACGTGCTGGATAGGGACTACAGATTGCTCAGTTCTACAACAATTCTCCTACTCTCTTTGGAGTTAATCATTGACTCCAGCCAACAGTGGTATAAGAGTATCTCCTGTGAATTACTTTTATTGCCAAACCCACTACCCCAGTCAAAGGGTTGCTGTTAGGAAATAAATCTTCCCTTTAGTTTTCCTTTCACAAAGCCTAATCTCGGCGCACTGTAAAAACAGCACAAGTGGGTGTATAACCATCTGTGCAACAGGCCATGATTTAGTAAGTCCTAGAGATGGGAATATGCATCATGACAAGGACCTGCTTAGTTATTTCCTGTTTCAATTTCAAGAAAATACTTTTTTATCAACAACTGTAAGTAATCACATCCTATTGCAGAAAAATAATATTGAAAGCAGCATCCAAATGAGACACTTGAAAACCCTGATCAGTTACTTCAGACTAACTAGTCTTCATCTGAGAAAGACTAAGCATAGAAAACTCTGCAGTTAACCCAATCACTTTACCAGGCTGCACCAACACAAGTGATTTTAGCCCTTCTCAGGCTGTGACAATCTGAGAATAAGAAGTCTGTCAACTAAATTTGCATAAATGTGGTTCCAGGGGACTAAGCACTGCTAGTGAGTCAGAGCAGTTAACTAAGGACCTCTAGATACTCCAAGCTGCTCTTGCCATTCTATCACCTCAGCAACCCATCTGGGAGGCAGTTTATGGGTACACGCAGAGAGATCCATCCATCGGAAGCACCTTCATATCAAAATACAACTCTCCTCTAAGAGGAACACGCCTTCCAGTAACAACTGAAACAACGTGCCAGGGCAGACACATTACCTTTTCTGAAAGGGCATCCTCATGTATCTGTGACAGGTCCATCCCCCCCAACACTCAGTGCCCAAATTAAAACTCAGGGGCTCAGATGTAAAGCTCAATCTTGCTTCCTACTGCGAGGAAGCTTTCCAGCACTAATATCATTAATGTATTCTTTCCTTTGGCTGACAAACGTGTGCCAACAACTGGTAGCCAGAGAACAGAATATTCAGTCCATTTCCTTTTTTCAGATCAGCTGGGACCTGCGGGATTTCCCAGGGACTCCTTCCTTTATAAGGAGATAAACTATAACATTGAGTTGCAATAAATGAAGGTCATTGCTTTGACATTCCAGTTTGCATATGAAGACACAGTACAGATGCTTCAGAGCTATCTGTACAGCAGTGGGAAGTCTAAACATCCTAAAAATAAGGTTGTGCATGTTTGGCTTTTATTAGCAGCCTAACATCCAAAGAGCAGAGAGCCAGCAGTGTGCTATCTCACTGCAAAACAAAAGGAACGGGTAGGATAGCTAAGATCATTCAAGTCAGCAGAAGTGTGCAGTGGAGACTTCCAAGCTTCACTGCAGCTAATCCAGAAGCAGAGCCAGATCTGAGATCAGCTTGAATCCAGCACTGGAAAGTTATTAGCAACTTCCACCAGCTGTGAACATCAGCTCAGGTCTACCCTTCCTTCCCTACATGATGACAATCCCAAGCAGTATTGGCCCTTTGGAATCAAATGCTTAGGGATTTTAATCTAAATTTTAGAACTTCCCAGCTCTCCCTGCCCTAGTTCTGGTTCTCAGCAGCCTCCTTACAAAGCAGGAAAGCAGGCACTTTCTTCTGTGGAAGAGTGACTAAGCAAGCAGTAGGCTGTAAACTGAGCACAAACCATCAAACAGTAGATTTCAACAAGCATACTTGAGAAAATGAATGCTATTCTTGAACACTGACTGAAGTGGGAGCAGAGGGAACAGATAAAATGGCTGAAAATCAGTAACGGGGGCAGTTTGATCTTAGAATCCATTTAAAAATACTGAGAGCAAGGGAAGCATCTGCCCCATCAGAGACAGGAGAGCATCACTTTGAAAACAAACCTGAGCAAGTGGTTAGACAGTATCCAGCTGCAGCATCTACCTACTCAAATCTCCTAGTCAAAAAACTAGGGTAGCAATAGCTCTTTGATAGAGCTCCACAGTCCTCAACACCTCATTGCTGAGCTTTAATAAGGAATGAGTCCAGAGAGCTGATGAATCAATGTCCAAGGGTCACTCACATGGAAAGGCCACATAAGTCAAGCAGGTATAATTACACACTGCTCAGGACAAGGCCCTCAGTGCCTAGTCTCTTCTGCCACTAATTTCAAAGCTTTCAACTGATATTCTTTGCAACTTACCCTAGACAGCCAGTTTTAAAACATAAAATATCATATTCTTTGTCATTATTATGACATACTAGGACCATCACTGATCTTAGGCGGACATCCTCTTTTCTCTCTTCTACCTTTTCCATCTGTCTCTCCTACCTCAGGACATGAGACTCTACCATGGATAACAGGGAGGTTTCTCCATGACTGTACACTGCCCCCATTAACCCCTGCCAGAGCAGCACCCATGTTCCTGCCAGGCCTTTCTTGCTGCAGGGAACAAGAGCAGCCCGTTCTATTCCACTGAGCATAAAACAGGGACTATCTCCTCCCCTCCCACATGAGGATACAGAATCCATATCCCATATACAAGGAACAAACCACACAAAAGGCAAACACCTTGCTGCCTTGCTCTTTCTGATGGCAGCAAGGCAGGATACTACAATAGCTATGCTACTTTTAACTCTCTCCTAACCAGGAATCTTGCACTACCATGAAATCATCATCCAGTTTCTGAAGGACTGGGAGAGCTGGGTTTCCATCATGGGGACAGCACTACCACTTGAGATGCCACACAGAGAGATTCTTAGAAATATGGTGAAGGGCAGGATAATATCCCCGGGGTCCTACTGCAGACACCTGCAATCAAATCCTCTTCAACCAGAAGATAGAAGTTATGCTGCTGTTCTAAATTAGTAGTTGCTCCTAGGGCAAGCCAGCCTGCACACTGAGCTGTGAAAACACCCTCTGAAGTCTGGAGGTGGAGGGGCAGGAGGGTTTCAGCTGCATTATGCTGCACAGCAAGTAAACAAATGTGTCTGAACTTCAGGTTTTCAGTTCAGACAAAGCTAAGAAACCTTGGAAGCTGAGACTGGAGAAGAGCCTCACCAGAAGGAGGCTAAAGAACAGTAATTCTCACAATGTTGAAATGATTACACCTCTAGTTCAACAAATAAATAAATGAACTTCATGGGCTACCTTCACAAGAACTAAGGTATCTGAAGTCTTACATTATCACCAGGAAGAGAAAAAAGCCTAAGAACAAAAATACAAAGTGACTTATGAGGAACGCTGCCCTGCAAAGGCTTCATGAGAAGGATTACAGGGCTCCAGTGTACCTCTGACTCACAAGGGCCTGCACAGTTATAAAACAAGCCCAAACTAACAATACTGTTAAATACAGAATTCCCTTAATTTTACCTACATTAAGCTAAACTGCATCTGAACTGTCATACCCTGCTCAACAGAAAAGCACAGCTGAGGCACCAATATACCCTTATATATACATAGGCACTGCTTAGTATTTTGTTATCTAGCACAATTTAAGGTATGTCTCAGCGCGAAGGAGATAAGCAGATCCTTCAACACAAGACATCGCTGTTCTCCTGAGCACACACTGTGAAAGCACACACACTTTGCTATGGAAAGAGCAATCCATCACATACCAAGATCATATTATGAGATCAGCCACAGCAGCAGGACAGCAACAGCAGACTCAAGCATGTGTGAACTTCAAACTGCTGCAAACACAACACGTCCTAAGTACCCCAGATAAAGACACAGTGCTGCCACAGTGGAAAGCAGGGAGGAAATCAATATGTCAAAGCTCTCAAAAGCAGACTCCAACCTCCATCAACTAAATGGAAATGTATGGAAAAAAGCCCTTATAGCATCTGTTAACCTCACACTGAGCTGGAACAGCCTGAACGTGGAAACAACCTACATTTTAGCACACTGGAAGGAGGTGGCTTTCTGCTCCACCAGTGAATCACTATTAGTGGCAATGCACCAAGAACCTAAGCAGCTCTCACAACCCTCACATAACTTTAAGGGAGCCCTTCTTTTAGGTTTAGAAGATGACATAACAGAATACATTTAGTCAAACTGTTCTATTATGCAATGATACAGAATATTCAAGTTTGAAACATCAGAATTCTGAAGCAGCTACTATAGCAAGTTTCTTAAGAGATCAAATACATTAGAAGAATTTTGGAGTCTCGGGGGTTTTCTTAGGACTGAAATATTTAAAATCTTCAAAATCTTCACAGGAGGAAAAATCAAAATAACCTGCACTTTACAGGCATGCCCACAGGTGCTACCTCCAAGGATAAACAGAGACAAAGAAGTGAGCCAAGAACAACGTAAGAGTGAAGGAATTTTTCCTATGCTTTTGCCATGAGTCATGCAGATCTAGGATTAATTATAGCCTGCACTGAAAGTATCTTAAATAACAATAAAAAACTGCATCACTGATTTCAGTTAGACAGTATTTCATGTCGAACAAGTTTTCACAGAGGTGCTGAAGTATTCAGACAGCACCAGCAAAGGCAGAAGACAATGAGACCACGTGTACACTACCAGGACACAGGTATGTTACAAGGACTTATTTAGTCACCTTTTAACATTCAGAAGTTTTTAATTTTTAACCCTGACCAGTACTGATTGCAGCAGTGAAGTAGATACCAAGACAAAAACCCAAAAAAATATCTGTTCTGAGCTTCCTCAACCAATCGGCCCATTTCCTACTACAGCTGACTCACACTGGAACTTACTCGCAAAGCACTTCCAGCTTCAGGAAAAACAGCTCAAAACAAATGACACTTCTGTACCAGGTTTTTGATAGTTCTCCAAATATGAGTGTCCCTAAAAACACGATCCAGGATTCAAAAGAAAAGCTTGGAGATCCTTAAAATGGTACAGTAAATCAGGCTTAGCATAGTCAGATTTAGTGATTACAAACAAGCACCTACAAGCTACTTTGTATGTTTCTGTAAATCAACACAGCAATCTAGAGCAACACGTTGGAGTAGGGGAAAAGAAACAGTGTTTACACAAGCACAGTACACAGGTGCGTGCACCTACATCCTCGTCCCCAGACCCCCACCTGTTGCCCAGTCAAGGCAGCGCGCACTGAGGCCACATCAAACTGCAGCGAACCCCGACAAAGCCAAACCCGAGGCCCGCACGCCGCACTTACCGTCCTCGAAAGGGGTCCCCTCAGGCCTAGAAGAGGGAAGAAGCAGAGGACAGTGTCACCCGTGGGCTTCCGGCTCTGTCCCCCGCCGGGAGACACAAGAGGCAGTGGCCCCCGCACCTGCCGCCCCCGGCCCCCACCCGACTTACCCGAAGATGACGGCGTTCCACACCATGATGTTGTTCTCGGAAGGGGCCCCGCTCACCCCGGCCGGGGGATCCTCCTGCAACCTGCGGGCACAGAGAGCGCTGACGCGCCGGACCCACTACCCCTTCAGTGCTTCCCCCCGGCGGCCGCCCCTGCGCACTTCGCGTAACCCAGGCAGGTAGCTACACGCCCCTGCGCAAACAGCGTAACCCGCAGACAGACGGCGCCTACCGGCGCTACGCAATCAGCGGAGCGCGCCCTACCCCGCCGCCATGTTGTGCTGCCCCCCTTCTCTCCCGGCAGAGCGGGGCCCTTCGTCCTCCTCCCGCCCGCCCTCTCCTTTCCCTTCAGCCGGCGACCTCTGTACCTCTTGAAGTCCCGCATGAGGCGCCTACGGGCCGGAGTGGACATGGCGGGCTCAGGGTTATAGATCACTCATACAATGCCAGAGGGAGCACGGGGTGCCCGGAGACGGCGACGAGCTCCAACTGAGGCAGCGGTAGCGCTAAGGAACAGGAGCGATCGCGGCCTCTACCACTGAGGCGGACGCAGGGGGGCCTGGGCTGCACCGATTCCTGCGCCGGCTGCCGGGCGATCCCGGAACGTACCAACGGCGCGGGGAGAAAAGGCGGAGCCGGATATCGCAGAGCCCCCAACCTGGCCTCTACCACCGCGGCAGGGGGGTGGTGCCTAAAGCAGCGGGGCTGTACCAACGGCTGTGGCGGAGAGGGGTGGAGGCACGTGACCTTTGACGTCACGAGAGCGGCCCGGTCCCGGCAGCAGTCGCGTTGACCCCTCCTGCGTTTCCGCCGTATTTCGGTTGCCACGGGGGCTCGTTCCCAGTGCCCCTGGGAGAGAACGGGGCGAGCGGGAGGGTGGGAGTGAGATAAAGGCAGTTCAATGGGTGCAGCAAAGCCAAGCACGGAATTAATTCAGCTATCCCCAGGACAGCAGGGCTCCACAACAATGACGCCATCACTCCCGTTCCTCCTCCTGTTACACTTCATTTCCTGCTTCCTCTGAAAGCTTTCCAAGGGAAAATAACCTCTTTTCTACCTCTTTTTCAACAGCCTTTGGGAGTTAAGAATTCCTCTGCTGTTGTTTGGAGCAGACAGGATAGGCCCTGTTTATCCAGCTGATCCTCACTTGCGACGATGTAATACAGACATCTGGGGAGCTGGCTTCAGAGGAGACTCTGCCTTTAACAGAAGTTAACAAAACCACTGCTGTCCTGGCTGCATTGAAAACCTCCCATTCCTGACCATTCCTGCCCTGACCCAGCTTGTGCAGTAAGAAATGGATCAGCTCCTGGGGCTTGTCCAAAAGGGGCTCTGCTCAGTGCTTTGCTTTTGGTTACACAAGGGCCTGTGCTCGCAGAAGATCCCGTTCACAAGAGAGATCCCCACTTTTAGGAGCTCCCGGGGGGTGCAGTCGGACAGAGCTGGCACAGTGTGTGAAGGGATGGGGTCACCCTCTCCCGCTCCCCTGCCAAGCTCAGGCCGGTTTGTGAAATGACCCAAGGTCTCAAATCGGCCGCTGCAGCGCGCGTTTAACGCACAATGGCGCTGCCCTGAACTGTGCCTCGTCCCCCCCGCCGCACACCCGGCTCCCCTCTGGGGAGAAACCACCGTGCCTCGGGAACGAGTAAAGGCCAACCACCGCGGGACGCCCGGAAGCAGACATTGTTTTTCCAAAGACCTTGGCGAGCTCACGCTCCGCGGGCGGAGCCGCGGGGAGGCCGGGCCTGGGGCGGGGAAGCCGGGCCTGGGCGGTGTGGGGAGGCCGCTGCGAGCCGCCGCCATGCCCAAGGTGGTGTCTCGCTCCGTCGTGTGCTCCGACACCCGCGACCGCGAGGAGTACGACGATGGGGAGAAGCCGCTTCACGTTTACTACTGCCTGTGCGGGCAGATGGTGCTGGTGCTGGGTGAGCCGCGGCGGTGGGCGCGCAGCCCTGAGGGCCCGGGAGGCGGCGGGGCGCGGGGGGCAGGGGTTGGGGCAGCGGTGCCGGCCCCGCCGCCAGCCAGGCCCCGCCGCTCTCCGCAGACTGCCAGCTGGAGAAGCTGCCGATGCGGCCGCGGGACCGCGCCCGGGTGATGGACGCCGCCAAGCACGCCCATAAGTTCTGCAACGCAGAGGAGGAAGAGAGCGTTTTCCTGCGCAGGTGGGCCCCGGCTCTGCCTCCCGAGGCCCGCGGAGGGGCCGCCCTGCTCTGGCCCTGTGCTCTCACGGTGCTGGGGTCCCTCACCCGGGCACCGTGCCTGCTGTCTGCACGCTCCTCTTAACCTCTTCTTTCCCCCCCCAGACCTGAAGGCATAGAGCGGCAGTTCAGGAAGAAGTGTGGCAAGTGAGTGATCGTGTTGGCTCTTTAGTGACATTGACACCCTGGCTTTGCGGTAATGTAGGAATCCAGAATCCCAGACTGGTTTGGGTTGGAAGGGATGGACCCTAAAGCTCACTCAGTTCCAGCCCCCTGCCATGGGCAGGGACATCTTCTGCTAGATCAGGTTGCTCCAAGCCCTGTCCGTCCTGGCCTTGAACACTGCCAGGGATGGGGCAGCCACAGCTGCTCTGCACAGCCTGTGCCAGTGCCTCTCCATAGTGAAGAGCTTCTTCCCAATCTCTACTCTAATTCTACCCTCTTTCAGTTTAAAGCCAGTCCCCCTTGTCCTATCCCTAAATGTCCTTGTAAAAAGCCCCTCTCCAGGTTTCTTGTAGCCCCTTTAGGCACTGGAGCTGCTCTAAGGTCTCCCCAGAGTGTTCTCTTCTCCAGGCTGACCCAGCCCAGCTCTCTCAGCCTGGCTCCAGCACAGAGCTGCTCCAGCCCTTAGAGCATCTCTGTGGCCTTCTCTGGACTTGTTCCAACAGGTCCACAGCCTTCACATGCTGGGGGCCTGAGTTGAACACCTTACTCCAGAATCTGTGTTCTCTCACAGCTAGATGTGCTTCTGTTTCCAGGTGTGGACTACTGCTCTTTTATCAACACCAACAGAAAAATGCTCCTGTGACGTTCATTGTTGACGGTGCTGTGGTCAAATTTGGCCAGGGTTTTGGGAAAACAAACATATATACTCAGAAACAAGAACCTCCCAAAAAGGTAATCAGCTTTAGATAAGTAAAAAGGTTATCTCTGCTTTTCAATAAGGTGTGGTGAGGAAAATCACTTAATGGCAGGGGCAAAGGGGAGAAAAAAAGAAAAGGACCTCGAAACAATAGCTCAGTTTGGTGTCTTCTGCCTTCCTTAAGTTTTCCTTTACAGAGGTCACTGCAGCTTGGAGTTGTAGCACTACAGGAAAGCAAAATAACGTGGGAAATCTAGATTGTGCCTGACATTTAGGCTCAGTTGCCAGAAAGTTTCGATTGTAATTAGGTCTGCACAGCGATTCTCAAAATATGACGCATCTATTATATATCAGTGAGTTTGCTTCTGATAATGACAGCTCTATCCCCTGAAATCACTGGGGATGATTCTCCTTTGCCACCCACAGAGCTCAGGTAATCCTAACAAATTGCATGAGAAGCCTTAAAAGCATTGGAGGGGGAGTGATCCCTAGTGGCAGAGCTGTTGCCAAGGTTTAAGGAAATACTTTGCTTCCCACCTAGGTGATGATGACCAAACGGACCAAAGACATGGGCAAGTTCAGTTCTGTCACAGTCTCCACAATTGATGAAGAGGAGGAGGAGATTGAAGCGGTGAGTTTTGTCTCTCCTTGGTGGCAGTTGCATCTGAACCTAGTAGCTGTTCTGAACACTGGTAAGAGCCAGTGGTCATCTCACCATTTGGATGAGGTGGTGTTACTTTGGGGTTTGCTGTTGCAAAGTGACATCGTGTGTGTTTCAGAGGGAGATTGCAGACTCCTACGCACAGAATGCAAAAGTGATTGAGAAACAGCTGGAACGCAAAGGCATGAGCAAAAGGCGGCTACAGGAGTTGGTGAGTGTCTTTCTTTGGTGTTCAATGTGAATTCCTGAGATCTGTTGTCTTTGTACACAAAAGCTGCTTGCAGAATGGACTAAATATCCTTGTACAGTCCTAGCTAACTTGTAGCACTGGGAGGATCACCTTTCCTTTACAGGTTTTATAGAGATGTTCTGCTAGTCCTTCTGTTGAACAGAACTGACTGAAGAGCACCTAGCAGAGCTTTTGCCAGGTGACTTTCCGTGTTGGTCAAGGAACAAGGAAAGGGAAAACCAGGCCATGGCTTTGCCAACTAGAGCACCCCCTAAAGCTGTGCTGTCAAGCCTCTTTGCCAGAGCAGGTCTCTGCCAGGAGGTGTCAGGCAAGCTGAGGCCAAGATCCTCCTTGCTGGAGGAGCTGCCAGCTCAGCTGGTACCTAAAGGGTTACTTGAAGAATTAATGGGAAGAACATCACAGCTGATCTTACCTGCTGTGACAGGATAGTGTTGCAGGGGAGAGGGGAAATGTGTAGCTTCCACATGCGGACAGAAGAGATGAAATTGTCTCCTGTGCAGTTAGTTTGGGACTTCTTATGGTTTTAAAGGTGGTCATTGTCCTGTACATCAGGGGAGGAGGGAGCCAGAAAGAACTTGAGCTACTCTTGCTCCTGGTGTGAGAAAGCTTGCCCAGTGGTGAGACGAGATGACCAAACCTCACTGGAGCAGTGAAGGGAAACATATCCAGCCTTTATTTCATTCTGTCTTAATTTTCTTAATCAGGCTGAGTTGGAAGCCAAGAAAGCCAAGATGAAAGGAACCCTGATTGATAACCAGTTCAAGTGAAATGCTGCACATCTGCTGACTATTCAGAGAGCAGAAGGCTACCAGGAGCTATCACAGATCTGTCAACAGAGCAGAAGTAACAGACAGTGTTCAAGGGTAATGTGCTGCATGCAGCCAGCTTGGAGGATGAGTAACTCTCTCTCATAACCGATACTCTGGTACCAATTTTAGTAACTCCAATGGCACTGGAGACTTTGCTGAAGCTGCAGTTCTCTACAGATGCAGTGTTAGGAGCAAGCTGCTCCAGCCAGAATATTTACTGTTGGAAAATCTTCACTGGGTGCCTTCCTGAGTTCAAATACCCACCTTTTTATTTTGGTAGTTTTCAAATGTGTAAGGTTTGCATAAGTGTATTAGAGCTATAGGTCAACTGTACAACAAAGAAATGGCTACAAAAGTAAGCTCTGTGCCTGTTGTTTATTTTGTTACTTTAAATGTCCAAAATGTGCAGCAGGTGGAGACATGTGCCATTCACACACAGTCTGAGGAGACTGGGTGCCAGGCTGGGGACAGTGCTGCTGCTCACCCTGAGCAGCAGACAGGTTGTCAGAGGCTTGGCTGCAGCTCTTAACCCTCAGCTCCTGTTGAACATTGGAAAGCTGCAGCTTGACAGAATTGCACTGTCCCAACAGACAACTGCCTGCTACAAGAGAATGAAATCCAACCCTGTTCTGAACTACTGAAACCAAAACCTTCCTGCCTGTTATACAATAATCGTATGAGTACAGATAGGCAGTTGGAGGTTACTTGTACAATGGGCAATATAACTGCAAGTGTGAACTAACCCATTCTGTAAACCAGAATCAGTACTTGGCGATGTAAAATGTGAAGGAGAAGGAAAAATTGTTTTGAATGCGCTGACCACTAAGGACTTGGATAAAGACAGCGTTAAGAATGGGAGCATAAAGGACCTTGTTTGGGAAATAATATTTTGTGTCTCTTGTGTGATGTAGTAACAGTGCTCTATAGTCCTTGTTGCTTTACTTGGGATTAAATACCGTGTTACGGATTTGAAATGAAATACTTTTCCTAGGATGTTCTTACTCTACCAAGTATTATAAAATAACCTGAACAATGACCACGATGCTTCATCCCCCACAATTGTTATGGAAGACTTCATAATCAATAAAGATTTTCCATCTGGTTTTATAACCCTGACTGGGAAAATGGCTCTGTTTAGCCTAAGGATGTATCCTCCCTTTTCTTGGGAGGCAGTGAGTTTTGCCCCAGAGCTGGCAGACACCATGTGTCCCTTGGTTGTGTGACAATGTAATGCCAAGCTGGGTAAATGCATGTGACAACCTGAGCAGTGCTGATCTAGTTCACTGCTGATCATCTGTTAATCTGAAGCCTATTCCCAGAAGCCTGTGTCCCGTGACAGGATACTTAGGAAGGGTAGGAGCAATGAGTCGGTACACCTTTGTTACACAAACACCTTTTCCGAGTGTGGTGGCAGAGTCCAGCCAGGTGAAAGCCTTTTTTCCCCGGGGAGCTGCACAAGCACCAAATAACCACAGGTTGGTCGCTACATTAAGAAGTTTTTTCCAAGCAGGAGTCAAAGACTGACATTTGAAAATGGGTATTGAACCCTGCGAGGCCTGCTGGGATGCAGGCTTCAGTTGTCATAAAGGATGAAGTACAGTCCCACTTCAAGTGACACCCAGACAAAAGCTCAGGGAAAGCGATTTACAGTTAGGGTTAAGGTTGGGAGTGACAAAACACAGAGCTTCAGCTGATATGAGCTGTGAAGGGGCTGCCGGGGGGGCTGGGGCTATCTGTGGGGTTTTGAAGCACAAAGGAGATTCGGGGAGTGCAGAGCTCAGCACAAGTTGTCCAAAGTAGCCATTACCAACTGCCATCAACTTCTTCAGCTGCACACCTTGAGCCTGGAGGCAGTGTTCATGGTATAAGCACTCCTCCATTCTGGCTTTTACACCAGGCCGTGTTCAGTGGTTTTCATTTCTGTCATTAAAGATCTGCCTAGTTGGCTCAGGACTTGCTCAGGGACTCAGTCAGAAAGGGGAGTATGTAGGCTGTCCACTGTACACAGGCTGTACACTCTAGTTACACAGTCAACAGCTGAATCATCTCCACAGAGGCTCTGATCCAATACATTATTATGTATTACTTATCCTGCCCGGATCTAGTTCACAACAATTTAAGTCAAACTGGGTTTTTCATTTCTAGATCTAAATGAACTAAAAGATGTTAGCTGACTATCAACAGGAAGCAGGGGCACCTAGTTCAAATGCTTGATTAAATGTCTATTATAACAGATAAAAGTAACCTTTCTGCAGAGTTTCCCACATCCTGGCAGCAGCTGGGTGATCTGCAGCAGTGTTCAGAGCAAAGAAGAGCCAAGATGTGAAAGCCAGCATTCGTTTTTATAAATCTGTAGATACAGGCAAGTGCTAGATTTGTTTCTGTAACTGAGCACTATATTGTATGTAAGAACTTGTCTGGATGCAGAGGCATTCCAAAGCAAAGCAGTACGTGAAACTGAAGTGGAAGAGGGGATCTATTCCAATAATAATGCCCCACATGGCGGGACTTACCTTTACATGTTTCCTGGCTTAGTCCAGTCCAGTTTCCAGACACCTTCGCAAGAACCTAGTCTGAATTACTGTGTCAGAGTAGCTCTACAAGGTTATGCCTTGTTCCTCATAACCTGCAAAAAAGCCCCACACAGTCCTCCCAGTCACTGTCTGGCCCTGCACCCATCACCAGCAGAGAGAGGAGGGAAGCTCAGCCATCACTCCTGCATATGGGACAAGTCCCAGAGCCTTGTTCCCATCTCTGCTGCCATTAGCACCTCCCAAATCCCACTAGCAAGAGGGTGGCAGCCCCTGCCTTGCCTTTCCTGGCACTCCAGATGATGACTGATCCCACAGCCCCAAGCCCAGCCAGAGAGGTCCAAGTGGCAGACAGCTGGCAAGGGGCAAGGCCAGACACCCAGCACCATTCATCACCTGTCCCAGCCACTGACAAGTGTTCCATACAATCCCATGTGCAGCCATGCTGTATCAACAGCTCCTAAGCCTGGGATTTATGGCCACCAGAGGAGGGGCTGAGATGAAAGCAGCGACACAGGCGCTTGCCCACCCTTCCCTGCCAGCAATGGGGCCAGTACACCAGGGCGGGCATGGCTTCTGTGGAGGAAACTATGAACTATGAGATGTTCAGCACTACCCACGGGAGAACCATATTCAAAAGGAAAACCCACCCTCCCATCTCAGGGCAGCACAGCCTGGACTCAATGCTTTGCCACTAGCTGGCACCAGGCCCCTTCCTGTCCTCAGTTTCCCCACAAGAACAAAGTCCTTAATCCCTCTGTAATGTCCTTCTGTGACACGCAAAAGGAGCAGCTGCACCCCCAGCCTGCTTACCCAGATAAAGCTGCTCCTGCAGAGCTGCCGGGAGAGGGAGGTTAAATCCCATGGGAGCCAGAGGGGTCTGCCAGCCTGTGCTCCCAGCAGCACAGCACAGGGAAAACCCATTGAGGGCTCTACCCCTCATCTCCCATGCCCCAGTGCTTGTTTCCCAAGTCCAAATGCAGAAACTAACCTGGGTAGCTACAACTCATTTCACTCAGTGCCAGCCCTGCACCCCAAGCCCAGTGCAAAATGCTGCAGGGCTGAGGACATAATGTGTTCCCTAACTCAGCTCCTTTTCAGTCCAACGCAATAGCCTGGCTCAGCATCTTGGTCACCCACCACTGTGTGGAGGAAGAAATGATGCACTTACCCCTGTGTGCCAACGGACCAGCCACACATCTCCTGTAGAAGGGAGAGGAAAGGATGCGCCATGCTCAGCAGCCAGCAGCATTTCAGAGCAGCCCTTGAAATCTGGAACATGTTAGCAGCAGGAGCAGTAAGACCCAAGAGCCCTTCATTAATCAGCTGGCATTTGTGCAGCAGGAGAGGTCTCCCAGTAAGGCTGCCCCATGGCACAGCCCCCTGTCAGCCTGCTGCCTGCTCTCCTCAGCCCTCAGCACACTGCCCACCATGTGTGACATTGCTCCATGGATCACAGGCAGCAGGGGATCTCACCAGGAGCCCAGGGGCAATTGAAAAACACCAGCAAAGGCTTTTGGCTCAGCAGCATGGCAATCTTAACATGCAGACATTCCCCATCATGAACACACATGGCCATTGACAGGGTCACATGTCCCACCACCCGCAGTGGGACAGTGCTGCACACTCATGCCCAGCTGCTCCATTTAGATTTCAGCAATAAAAACAATTACTACACTTTGCAACACAAGGGATTGTTTAGCTGTCTCAGCAGTGGTTGAGCCTGGTGTCAGTGATTGCGATCAACTGCTCTGAGCAGGCCTGGACGGCCAAAGGACCAAAGCCATGGGGGCAGCGAGAAGACTCACTCATCTAGAGGTCAAAGGACCAGACCATCCACTCACCACCCCAGCTCCCCAGTCAGAAACCCAGCAGCTGCACTGTGGCATGCTCACAGACCCACAGAGATCTCTGGGTAAAGGCCAAGCCACACACATTGCCCAGCCTTGCAGTGTTTGCCCCAAATGCCCCAGCAGCATGAAGGAATTTCCCCCTTGCCCTAGAATTTGAGGCTGGGACAACCTTAACTTCTAGTGGTAAGGGATGAGCCTGGGGATGCAACTCCCTGCCTGGCAAGCACAGCTCTGCCTCAGGAGCTTGCTGGCTGTGCCCAGCTCTACACCCCCAAAGCACAACATCCCATGCGTGGGCAAAGCAGGCCAGGGGCTGCACAGATGAGCAGCAATTACCTGCACTTAGGTTCTCTGGCTGGGTTTTAGCATGCCTGAATAGACAGCTCAGTTTCTAAGTCAGAGTACATGATGCCAGCTCTGTTTCTCCAGACAGCAACAAATACCTCTCTCCAGCCTCCCAGGCATCCAACACCATGAGGAAGGCTGTGCTTTGCAAAGGAAGACTTAGGCACTTGGCACCTTCAAAACAAGGTTTCATCCCCTTCAGGGACCAGAGGGGCCTGAGACAGGACTGGTGGCACAGAGCCAGCACACATGGGCCACCCCAGCCCACGCCTGGGCAGGGAACCACTGGGCAGGAAACACTGCAGAGCTTCCCTGGCAGACAGCCCTGTGTTTACCTGCTGGAGGTAGTTAGCAGGTAGCGAGGCGTGCAGGATGGAGGTGGTTCCTTCTCCTCCTTCTCTATAGTCACTGCAGACTCCCGCCCCCCTCATGCTGCAAGAACAAACATGGGATGAAGAAAGATGGTTTCAGATTTTTATTTCTTTGTACTCTTTAAGCAGGAGTGACTAAAACAGAAACCATGGTGAGTCCCATCAGGGAGAGTAACTTGATAAAGGCAGTGCAGGCAGTTGCTCCTGCCCCATGCCAACCTGTATAAACATCAGCCATTGCTGTTCAGTAACTAGATGGTTTTCAAACAAGTCCATGAAAGGTAGTGGACTATATGTAACAACATGCCAGTTCACAACAGAAAGCAACTTATGTGTACTTCTTGATTTCACCACAGAGGACCAAGACACAAGCACCACCCATTTCTCGAAGTACATCTGACCATGCACCTTTGAAAACACCTTGGAGCCCTTGTCCTGGGCAATCTTCCGCCAGCAGTCAAGGGTGCCCGTGTACATTATGTCAGCTGCAGGAGACAGACAGCATCAGGAATCGGATGCCCATGACACATGACATCCAGGTTCAACATGGCCTAAGATCCTCCAGCTTCATAAACTCAAGTGCAGCCCATTTCTTGACTGACTTTCTCCAGTATTAGCACATAAGAGCACAAGACTGCCCAGGAGATACATTGCTGCTACATTACCCCTAGAAGACACTGGAAGGAACAGTTTGAGCAGAAGGCAGCTACTGTTTGCTTTGACACCAACACTTCCAGACCCAAAAGCCATTGCACGATCAGCCAGGCCGTGCCTGCTACCAGGGATGGCTCCTCTTGGCCCAGAGACACTAGTTTGCAACATCCCTGGGCAAGTTCTGCTGTTCCTACCCACTGAATGAATACCTGACTTGTGCACAACACCTTACAGGTATGTTGTGGAGACTAAACCATCCATATACCCTGCCTGTAATCCACTTCTGCAGCCTCCCTCACACCCCCGGTTTAGAAGGGGTGAGGATACCTACACAGCTTGGTGAAAGCCAAGCCACTCTGCCTTCACCTCAGCTCCACCACCAACTGTTGATTCAGGGATGCCTGATACTTTCTACGCAAGGAAGAAGAAACTAACCTCCTTCCCAGCCAGACAACGGACAGCATCAAAAGGGCATGATGCAAAACCAGCGACAGCAGTGACGGTCTGAGTGATCATCCAGTTGACAATGATGGGGGTGTTCCTTGGGTCTGGGAGCATGCCTGTGGGAAAGAGGTTTTGATGAGAACGGCTGGTGAGCCACCAGCACGTCACTACAGGCCTGCCGCAGCCCAGGATCCCCCTTTTAGTACCATTTTGGTCAACCTACCCTTCACAGTGTTATAGATGCCAAAGTAGGCAGCTCTGTAGATGATGATACCCTGGAGAGACACACTGAAGCCCTGGTACAGGCCCTTGAGGCCGTCTGACTGGAAGACATTGAGCAGGCGGTCAGTGAGCCCACTGAACTCCTGGTCAGCCTTGGCTTTGCCCACATCTGCTCCCAGGTGGGTTCAGGAAACATCAAGTGAGTAGGTGATGCACAGGGAGGTAGCACCAGCAGCACCCCTGGACGCCAGGTTACCAGCAAAGTACTGCCAGAACTGGGTTTGCTTGTCCACATCACCCAGGAAGATCTGCTTATACTTATCCTTGAAGGCGAAGTTGAGGGCCTGGCTGGGGAAGTTCCGGATCACATTAGCCAGGTTGCCATGCCAGAAGGAGAGGATGCTCTGCTGACGGGGGATGCACACCATGCAGTTGATGGTGCCCTTTTAGTGCTTACTGGCTGAGAACTGCTTGCTGGCTTGCTGCACCTGTGGAGGGTGAGACACAGCCGTCAGCACCACTGCCCCGCGGCCCCCTGACCCCGGCAACCACATCCTTGCTGCCACCCCAGCCCTTACCTGCAGCAGCAGCTTCACCCTCTCCATAGGGGTGACGGGGTCTTGGAGATGGCGGCCGCCACCCCACTGGTGAGGAAATCCTTAGTGAAGGACAGGGCTGCATCTGTCATGGCGAGAGGTGGCGGGCGGGGAGGTGAAGTGGGGTGAGAGGCAGCGCTGCAGCGGAGGATGAAATGGTTGCCTTATATAGGGGTGGCGGCGGGCACGTTGGGTGGTATGCACTGCCACATCCCGCTCACCCACTGCGGCTGTGGGAGGGGGACAGGGCTGGCTTGGCAACCTCAGGTGGCACACAAACCGCTGATGCCCAGCACGGGAGCGCTGGGTGGGCTCCCCTGTGGGGCCTTGCATCCCGCCCAAGCGCATCTGCACCGCCTGAGCACCGCCATGAAGACAGCCCAGCACTGCTGCGGCTCAGACCCCACTGAGAGAACTCTACTAGTGTCACCCTGGGTGACCCCCACCCCGACACCTCTGCCAGTACTGTCACCTGCACACCGGATGCTCAGGGAGTCACAGACCTCCGGGCACTGTATGTATTCCCTGAGCCCAGCTATGATGAGGTGCTCAGACCTATACCCCACCATGCACCCCTCCCACCTCCACTGCACCCAAACATCACCTGAGCTACAGTTCACCTGCCCAATAGCCGTCCCTGTGACAGCTGGTTCTTGGTGACCACACACCGTTTTACCCATCAGTGACCCACTGCTAAAGTGCTTTGTTTCAATGCTGTCTTAAATATTTTAGCGTTCTCTTTTGGGGATTTCTCTTGCACAGATGTGATTACGCAAAGCAGAGGCTTGGTTGGGAAAATGGTACTCAGTGATTTATAGGTCCTAGGAGTACATTACGATACAAAGGTGTTTATTAGCATATCCAAAACAAATTAGAGGTACCTTTTGGGCTCACTTGACTCTTAGCAAGTTTGAAGAGCTGATCAGACATTCACACGCACCCATCACTCAATCTTTGAAATCTATTTAGAGATACAATGTTAGTAAAAAACATACAGGTATGCCTGGACAAGGCAAGGGGACTCTATGGAAAGCTAATCCTTCCCAACACAAGTCACATCTCCTTATTCACACATCCCAAATAAGTCTCACCATTATCACCTGCACTGTGCAGATGGGGAAACAGAGGCCCAGATAAACACGGTCACTAGGCAGGTTGATTACAGAGCCAAAAGCATGCACAATGTGTGATGCATGAGCCACCAGACCTGCTCGCTACCATCTTAATTTTTTGCTATCAATGTTTGCATTTCTTCTCTGAGAAGAAAACAAATATGAAGCACTCTGAAGCAGAACTGAGCAGGCTCTGTAAGAGAGATACTGCAAGACCTTAGCTGTAGGGTACATCAGTGTCAGGTTCCAGGTGCAAGGAAGGCCTTAAAGTTATCACAAATCCTTCTGTGCATCTCTCGCCATGGTCACAGGCTGTTCCTGCATCAATCTCCATTGCCCTACCCTGCTGTGACCTGGTCTACCAAGCAGTTTCTGCTCATTTCCACCCAGCAGGGACATAAACATTACAAAACCACACACAGATCAGCAGGCAAATCCTGTGTGAGGGCAGGAATGCAGCAGCTGTAATTCACACCTTGCCACAGCCTGGCAAGTGGGACATGTCATAGCCTTCCCACGTGGACACAGGGTTTAAGGTTTTCTACCAGAAGGCACTAGGACGAGGCTATTCCATAGCTGTACTTCTACAAAGGAACTGGAGCAATACTGCAGGTCCTCAGCTGTAATACCAGGATGATCTTTTACTGTCCAAAAGCTCACTAGACTGCTTAGAGGCCTATCATCAATTGCGTCAGCACTGGCAATAACCCACTGGTCTTGCAGAGAGGTTGCTGCCTGCAGAAACCATCTGTGGCTCCTGGATCACAGCAGTTAAACTGGAAACACCACAACTTGTGTTCACAGTGCTATCCTGCTGGCAAGTTCTGAGCAGCAAAGCAGGCCTGGGTCTGTGCACAGGAACCCAAAAGTAGTTCAATATAAAAATAGAGCTTTAAGAATACCAAAACAATGTGACAAGGCTCATGGCTCTGAAATCCTCAACACATGTACATTTTCAGGAAACAGAGAGCTTCAGGAAAACTGTTTTTCAAAGCCTGAAACAATTCACATATGCACGGTAAAAACACAGGAGAAAGGGAGGGAGATTTTCTACTATGCACTTAAGTTTTCAAGATTGTCATTCCGGAGCATTACAGTTTGTTTGCACATTACAGTTCTCTCTTAGCAAAAGCCCAGTTGCAGCAGCAGCATATTTTCAGCCAAAAAATCATTCAAAATCATTATCTTTGACTAAGTCTCGAAAACTGAAGAGGGGATTCTGGAGTGTGACTGAACTGACACTAATTCTGCAGCCACAGAATGGCACATCTACACAGTATTGCCAAAAAAAAAAGAGATTTCAGTAGAAATTCCTGCATGTTGTACATATTCCATTTAAAATTTTTGGCTGACTCAGTATTTCAGATTACTTAAAAGATACCCACTTAAATTTTCTTACTATTTTTAAGATGCAACCTCTACTCTCACCTCAGTTATCTTGCCTTTCTGCAAGTGGTTTTCTCTCAAAATGGCTATTCTGTATTGTAAAGCACCTTGAGTAACATAAGTTCAAGTTCCAATTGCCCAGTGTTTTCCGACTAGTTGCACCTCTCCTCTTCAGTCTGTGCTTGCTATTCATATCGCTTGTGTCCGTTCAGCAAACGAGAGACAAGATTTACTTGTTTGTGGTATTAAAACCATGCAGTCCACTGAAACGCTGGTACCTGTGGCTGAGCGTGTCTGTCTTCTGAAGTTCCTTAAAAAAGGCAGTGTGTGTATCCCCAACAGACACTCTAATGTCAGTTCTCAAGAGCTGATTTCCTTGGCTCAAAACTTTCCCTCCGGAGGCGCTTTAACTCTCTCAGTTCTTGTGGCTGTAAACTCTGGTCCACGCCAGGGGTTAGCTTGTAATTTAAAGGAGACTCAATATAACCATTTCTGTACAGACAGACCCGCTTGCAGAACTCAAAGGTGCTAAACATAACACCGAAGTATGGGACAATCTGATAAAATAATGAAAAAAAGGAACGTAAGATGAAAAAAGAAGCAAGATGAGACTCACTAGTAGTGTTTTTAGCTGAGATGTTTTAAAACAGGGAACTTCCAGGACTTCAAATCTGTTCTGCTAACAGAGCTGTACTTATCGATATAGTCACTCTCACCTGAAACTAGGCTGGCACCTGCAGCATGCTAAAAGTAGTTTATTATTGGTACATAATTAATTATAACAGATTTGGGAGGAACAAGGTCTGTGCTAGCTTATCACAACTTGTCAAACACCTAAGCAAATCCTAAGCAACCTCACCAAATCCCAGTAGGAAATGTGGGATTTATTCTACATAAGCAGAGTGTACAATTTTCTTTTGCCCTTTGCAGAATGAGCAGCTCTGGTGCCATGTGGCTTTACACCAGCTGAGGTAGGGCCAGGCACATGCAGGCCATTACAACCAATCACATTTAGCACTCAGTAGCTGACCTGTAGTGCTCCATGTAGGCAATCCTCAGTACAGCACTAGAAAATGTATTTATGTAAAATAAATGACCTTCTGTTTAAGCTATCATGCTTTATTTTATGGTTTCAACTCAGCAAGGACTGTAGTAACAAATTGACTGATTGATGGCTTGGCTTCGCAAATGAAGATTTGGGAAGGGCTTTACCCAGGCTTACTAAAAGCGCGATGGATGACTAAGAGGGCAATGTGGGATTGGCAAATCTGGTTGGAACAAAGGCTGCTTGGTCATTCAGGATGTTTCTGAACAAGACTGTCATCTCCTGGGTCAATCTCGAGCTACCAGTGTCCTGAAATAGCTGATCCAAAGTACTACTTTTGACTTCTGGGGAAATGGCTTACACAAGTGCAATTTTATTTACAGCTTAGTCCAACATGTCAAATTACTGGAGCTCACCTGAGAAGTAAAACTTGTTTAGCTGTTGTAAGTGGATCATTTGCAATCCTCCATCTGTACCCTACCTTGTATGTTAGCAGCACTCACTTCTCTGAGGACATGCAAACGAACTTGGAAGTAGTGACATCGAGAAACCAAGCTTACACTGGGGGAAGTATGACCCAGTCTGAATTCCGAAGTAGTCTGTAGCCTGACTGAGGTTATACCTCTCATCTATAAACTGCTAACAAGTACAGAGGCATACCATAACTTTAAAACCCAAGTGCCCAAATGTGTACCTTGATTACTTTAGGATGAAAGCAAAACCTCACCTTGAGCAGACTGGGTGTGAGCCCGCTCCAAAGTCCAAGCACACCTTTGTTCTTCACAGTTTGCCGGAAGCAGTCAGCCATGCCAGTAAAATAGACATCAACTGCTCCATAGTGGGGAAGCCAAGGACTCTGGGCCTGTCCAAGAGACAAGCAGGGAGACTCAGAACAAGCAAAGGAAAACCAAAGTAACTAAAGATCATTTTCTCCATTCTGGTACATAAGGAATACTTAATGCCAGGTTTCACCAGACTGATCTGGATTCTTTCATCAACCCAAATGAGTCAGCTATTTTGCCTTGAAATACAAACTAAAAAGGAAGGGAATTCATTCTCTGATAGGTACAAAAGAGAAAGAGAGCAGTAATTTCACACAGCACTTCCTTTTGTACCATGTTACTACTGAAATAAGGTATTTGACATCACTGGGAGGGGAGCACCTATGAGGGGGAAGATTGGGGCTGGCCCCAGATACCACTCTGCCTTCCTGTAATTCTGATCAAAACAGAGAGTGTGAGTGTGAGTGTGAAGGGTAACTGTAGTATGGGTTGAGCAGCAACAGCACAGTAGAAACTGAAGTACACTAAGGGCTGTAGGTGAGCAGTTGACGCCTATGCTGTTATCTTTGCTACATGGTCAGTTGATCCAGACTAGTTAGTTAGCTTGGGAACATTCTGAAGGACTGCAGCTACATTTCCAACGGCAGTACAGAGAGTATTTGTGCACATAGAAGTGTAGTGTGTCATTTTTAACAGTAAACTCCTTCCTTCATTAATCTCCTACTGTGTTAGCACAGACAGGATAACCTGACCTTGAATAATCTCACCCTCATCCGTCTATGCACATGCAGCCATGGGTTTGCTTTGCATTGGGAAATCGGGGTTTCACCCAAAACACATGGCAAAATGACACTTCTCAGTCAGGAGTGTGTGGGGACCCCAGCACACAGGCTGATCACTATGTACAAGCTGATCACCACAGGGCAGAAAGTTTGATAAAATGGGACTTGTACATTTCACTTATCAGTGAATACAGATATCACTATCCCATCACTGGTCTGGAACACCATGTGGTGGAGCATTTTTTCCCTCCTTGGCCACACTGACCTGCAGCTTCTCAGAGCTGCTAAGCCTATAACAAGCCTCCCATAAATCAACACGCGGTGATAACATTTTCTAGATGCCTCAGCTACAGCATTTAAAATACTTGGCAACTTCAGTGCTGGAAATGGAAACAGATCAAAACTCATACTACAAATAAATAAGGGAAGTTGCTAATCAAACAGTTTTAATGCTATTGCATCCTCTTCCATTACTGGCAAGTTTACTGCTAAACCAGAGAAGCTAACAAAAAAACCCCATGCCCTAAACACTCCTCACACTAACTGCACAGCCTTCTTTATCTACAAATAAAGTAACATATCACAATTTTTTTCCTCACTTTTTTTTGTGTGCATGACTGAAATGCATGTGAAATACTTCTGATGGCAGGTAACAGGTAAAACCATATCATTTCCTATATGGACAGGACTTTGGGAGGTGGTTTTGGGAAAGCAGCTGTCTGCACTGAGAAAGAAGGCAATAGGCTTCCACTACATCTTAATTTGTTGTCTTCTGGATCTTCTTTAACATGTCCTGGCTCTTTCACCCCAGAAGAGAGTAGGGCTGAGGACTTAATCCATAGTGGTTTACACTTTAAGCAGGAGAGAACAGCAGCTTTTGCTTCTCTCTGAACTTTCTCAGCAGTGCACCTGATTTGTAAGAGAGGGATCACATTTGTGGGGGAGAAAGTATTTCAACTGCTCTACTTGCTCATCCCCTTTATGTCTTTGTTGGCCTTATTAACTCCATGGGGCTACAGCTGTTTCCTAACTGGTGCAAGCTCCCATGTTTTCCTGTTTTAGGATGCAGAGAGGCTGATGTTATGGGATTTAACTGTTGTGATTTTACAGTATTTCGAGCCCTGCCTTTGCAGGTAGTTCAAGGTAACAGAAGTAGTCTGGTAGCCAAGGGTCATATACATCTTCACTTAATGCTCACTGCTAGAAGGAAGCTCAGCTGACTGCTTGGCTCTGTTACTTAAAGGATGTATGGTTTTAAAAAGCAATAGCTAAATGCAGCAGTGACAAGGAGAGAAGTAACTTTTCAAGCCTTAACTCACAGTACTTGAGAAACCACTGCACAAGGACTCCCATGACTGTACTGCAGAAGATACTGAGTGCTGCAACTGAGACTTCAGGGACCAGTTCCACTAAGAATAGTGATATTAGCACCAGCGATGCTTAGAACAGCAGTTATAGGAGAGTTGGATTCAAAACCCTGTTCTGCTTTCTGGACTATTAGCCAGTTTGCATGAGCTTTTTTTTGGAAAAGGATGTAATAGACAGCCAAGCAGTGAAGAGGGACAGGTTTCTAAAATGCTTCAGGAAAGCAGGAATGCTGTTAACATGCAATTCCCCTCCTTTTAAGTCCCTTTGTGGTTAGACAGGGCATTGACAGAATTAACTGCATAAGTTTGATTTAATCCCCTTCATGACTGTATAACTCGCAAAGACACATATCAAGGAGTTTTGATGACAGTTCTCCTGTCTATAACACCAAGACAGGCCACAAGCACGCTGCAGGTTTCAGTAAGATTCTACATGCAGTAAACACATCCAGAAGACAGTTGAAAAGGAACAGATAATGCAAACCCCAGATTTCTAATTTGCCCACAGACACTGACCTCTTCAAGAGATTTACTGAAGGATTATTTAGAGTAACATTCACCACAGATATAGCCATTTTCAAGGCTTCAGTCTGAGGGGTGCAGTTTGCTTTGCCAGTCTTTCTGCTTTACTTATGTTTCTAGGACCCTATGCACACTATTTCAGTAACAATTGTCTGCAGAGTCTCAGAATCACCTACTGCAAAAGGAAAACTGAAAACTCCATCAGTGTGTAGTTAAAACTTCAGTATTTTGGAACACAGCTAAACAAAGTTAAAATGTATTAATGGAAACAACAGGGAAGTGTTTCATCTAGCTCTGTTTTTAATGGAAAAATAAACAAATAGCTGTGGGTGGTTCTGCATCATCTAAGCATGTCTACAACACTGCAATCCTCCTAACTGCCCTGTGGCACCAGAGCCAGAAAATGGAATGAACAAAACAGATCAAACCGGTTGCTCTACCTTTCTTGCACAAACCTACTACAACACAATTCAAACAGCTAATCTCATACCAAAAATATCAGGTTTGACAGACAGTGCATGCCACGTACCCTCAAAACAGCTTGAATTCCTTTCTTTCGACACCCCTTGACACTATGGGCTGCTGCACGGAAACCTGTTTGTTACGAACGTTTCTAAAGACTTCCTTCCCACCTTCCCTTAGTTAAGGCTGTCTCACACTGCAGGAGGCTGGAGACACAGTACAGCTCACTGTGCTGCTAAGAGTGCCAAGCTGTTAGTCATAGTGGTAGTGGGACTAAGTTGCTAATCGTTTTACTGCTGATGGAAGATGGCTTCTCTAAATGATTAAAGCACATCAAATGCAGAATCAGCTCTATCCGCTCTCTCACAAACACGATTTTAAAGTATCCAGAGGCCACCAAGTCTACCAAGACAGTGATACACCCCCAGTTAGCACTGTTCTATTTCTATAATAGAAACCCAATAGAGAAATGGGTATAAAAAAACCTCAAACCCACAACTACCTGCACTCACTTTTTTATATATAAACAAATTGTTTAAACAAGGGTAAAGTGTCGTGATAAAACTGAAGTTAATTGTTACCTGAAGACCCTGTAGACACCATCTCTCCCATTGTCCCATCACAAGGTGAACGCTAGAACGACATTTTGTAACTGATCTCACAGACCCTTATAAAGGGTTCCCCTTTAATGACCTCCCCCAGCCCCTCTCATCCTCCTAGGACTGAAGGATGAACATAGCTCACTACAGCTGCAGTGGGAACCATGCCCATCAAAAGATCAGTCACTTTGACTCTTCCCAAGGCTCAGAGTAGCTCCACAGGGACCAAGCAGAGCCCACCAGCTCAGGGTGAGGCCACTTGAGCCTGAGCCCCATACAGATTAAAAGCTGCCACCTGCACTTTAGGCCATTTTGGTTTGCACCTATGTGAATTTATGTGTATCAGAGACTATTTGGAAATACTTCCCTCGCAATTCATGTACTTTATCCAAATTTCCTGATTCTAAAGTTTGTTGTAAAAAGGTTTCCTATTTATTGATTTTTTGAGCATGCTCTACTGTTGACACAAAGTATGAACGATAGACTAACAGTGAATGGCTCCCATGGGTGGTATGCTACCCTGATGGTAGATACAGTAAAATTGCTTGTTATTTATGTATTTTCAACAGATTCAGGTGTCCTACACTTCTGAGCAATTAAAAACAACGAGTACAAGAAGGCACTTTACAACACAGTTCAAGAGTTCACACTCTTAATCTGGAAGCTAAAATAAGAAGTCTTTGCTGTCTGGGTTAATCAGGACACATTCAACAGGCAAGCGTAAGTGTAGGTCAAAGGAAACTGAAGGACAAGGACTGCAGTTTACATTCAAGCTAATGCCACTAACAGTCAACAGAAATTTTGCTCAAGTGAAGGCTGAATGCTTGAAAGAGTATTTAATTTCACTCACAAGAAAGGATTAAAATGTAAATAAATGCTAATACTGGGGAGAAGAGCATGTATTCACTTGGGCTAATTACTCCTTCCTCCTGAGGACAGCCTTATTTGGAAGTTGTCATTGTGTCAGTGGTTTGATAAAGCTGGTTTTACCCTGGCTAAAGTCCACCCAAAGGTGTCCCAAAGGTATGTAGAAGGTAACGATGACAGGCTATGAGGAGGCAACCAGTTACAGAGCAGCACTGCAGCACAGCTGACCTCCAGCTTCCTGCACTCTAGGAACATGTTGTCCTTTCCTCTGTACCTGAACTGGGGCCAAAACATCTCATCTTTCTGAGATCAGTGACACCAAAGGAACCAAACTGTTTACTGCTTGCTCAGAAGGTTTACTTCTGGCTCGAAATGTGTTATTGCCAGGCTGTTGTACCCTGAGGCTTCATGGTAGGTTGCAGAATCATAGAATAGTTAGGGATGGAAAGGACCTTAAGATCATCAAGTTCCAACCCCCCTG